CCAAATCCACAAAGCACATGTGGATTGGTGCAAACTCCCATGCACCCTCCAGCACCCTGGAGTGGGTATAGAGCTGGTCCAGTGTTCCACGACCGGGACGAAAAACCTTACTCTTCCCCTTGTAGTTGGAACACACCCTCCGGTCTCCCTTCTTGAAAAGAGGGACCACCACCCCGGTCTGCCATTCCAGAGGTACTGTCCCCAAACGCCACGCAATGTTGCAGAGGCGTGTCAGCCAAGACAGCCCCACAACATCCAGAGACTTCAGGTACTCAGGGCGGATCTCATCCACCCCCGGTCCCTTGCCACCGAGGAGCTTTTTCTTAACTACCTCGGTGACTTCAGCTTGGGTGATGGATGAGTCCACCTCCGAGCCCTCGGCCTCTGCTTCCTCATTGGAAGACGTGTCGGTGGGATTGAGAAGATCCTCGAAGTATTCCTTCCACCGTCCGACGATATCCCTAGTTGAGGTCAACAGCTGCAAGATTCCTCTTCGTAAACACCCAATGAAATTAAACATTCAAATGCCCTGCTAGAACACAAAGGGTCATAAAAACTCCCTCCAAAGGGACAGCTTCGTATTGGCTCACGCACCTCCAGAGGGTGTGTCATCTTCACGCTTTAAAAATCACTGATCACAAGATTAGCGCTCTTGCTCTCTCTTAGCTCTCTTAGCCTCTTGCTCTCTTACTCTCTTGGTCCTTCCTGAGAAGTCCTAATGTGAAGATGATGCTGAACTAGAAGTCTCCCAAGGACCCCCAAGCTTGCGCCAGGCTGCGGCCTTTTCTTTATCACCATTGAGTGTTCACAGGATGAACAGAGTAATTGGTTGTAATGTTAATGTAGCTACATCAAGTTAACCCGATTAACTGATCCAAATATTCATAATCAATTATAACAAGTTATGATTGATTATTAATATTTCATAGAGCAAATTCGCTGCACGTGAGTACAATGCTCTTGCACAGTCTGCGGGGGCGATCTCGAGGAAGCTTACTTTCATATAAGCATCTATCCTGCGCACAGGAAATATATCAGTTTTTTTCTTTCAGAGCGAAGTGTACACATTTTTTACTCTTCCATTCGGGCTCAGCCTAACTCTGCACGGGTTCAGCATGTGCATAGAGGCAGCTGTATCAGTGCTGAGAAACAATGGGCTCAGAATATCTGCTTATCTGGACGACTATCTTATATGCGCTCACTCACGGGTGTGTGCGGAATGGGACACCGAGATGCTCACTTCTCGTTTCACGAATCTGGGGACCAGAATCATCTACGCCAAAAGCCAGCTGATTCCATCTCAGGAGAGAACCTGGCATACCGCGCTATGCTCTTGGAAAGAATGATAATGGCGTTTTATCAGTGCCTAGCCCAGTTTCGCTGATTTTGGGGAACCTTGGTATTGTTCAGGACCTGACTCTTTTGGGCATGATGGCTTTTTCGCTGTCTGTGGTCCCGATGGGCTTGCTAAAAATGAGAGACTTCCAGCGATGGGTAGCAGCGAGGCGTCTGGGTCCTCGTCTGCACCTCGTGCGCAGAGTGAGAATATCCGCGGAGTGCGGGACGGCTCTTCATCAGTGGAGAGACCCCCGCTTATTCCAGACCGGGGTTCTGCTCGGGGGCGTTTCTCTGAGAAAAAAGGAGTTACAACGGATGCATCCCTGACGGGCTGGGGGCTGTTTTTCAGGGCAGATCGGTAAATGGTAGCTGGATGTCCCAGCTTCGCAAACTTCACAGAAATATGTTGGAGTTAATCCCAATCATTCCTGAAACATTCTTGAAAGGGTTTCATGTTCTGGTCAGGGAAGACAACACAACAGTGGTGGCATATATTAACAGCCAAGGGGGAACGCGTTCGTTGCAACTGCACAACTTCAGCTCACTGTGCACAACGCACATACCGGGAGTCCTAAAATTTAGGAACGGATATTCTTTCAAGGGGAAACTCGTGATAGGGAGAATGGGTACTCCAACCGCAGTTGGTGGATCGGATTTGGGGGATGTACAGCAGGGCTGCCGTAGATCTCTTCGCCTTGCAGGCAAACGCAAAGTGCCTGCTGTAGTGTACAGCTCGTGCTCGTTGAGTGTTAATTTATTGTGTCTGTCTGCATGTTTGAGCACAAACCACGCTGGAATCGTAGATGAGAAGATCTTTTAGCTTCATTACACAGCCCCTGCGGCCGAACCAGCAAAGCCTCCAGTGAAGCCTGTGGATGAACCAGCAAAGCCTGCAGTATGTTCTGAAAACTGTCAAAAAGCTCTCCCTGATGCCCAATGTTCTGGCCCTAAGAGGGGTCCTCCAGAGCCTGTAGTGATCCCTGCATCCGAACCAGAGAAGCCTGTGGCCGAACCAGCAAAGCCTCCAGTGAAGCCTGTGGCTGAACCAGCAAAGCCTGCAGTATGTTCTGAAAACTGTCAAAAAACTCACCCTGATGCACAATGTTCTGGCCCTAAGAGGGGTCCTCCAGAGCCTGTAGTGATGCCTGCGGCCGAACCAGTGAAGCCTGCAGTATGTGCTGAAAACTGTCAACAAACTCACCCTAATGCCCAATGTTCTGGCCCCAAGAGGGGCCCTCCAGAGCCTGTAGTGATGCCTGCGGCCGAACCAGCAAAGCCTGCAGTGTGTTCTGAAAACTGTCAAAAAACTCACCCTGATGCCCAATGTCCTGGTTCTAAGGGGGGTCCTCCTGGACATAAAGAAAGTGGCCATGCATGCAGTTAACAGTGTTGATTTTTACCATTGATGTTTTCCCTGTTTAAAAAAAAAAAAAAGATAAACAAATTAATTTGCCTGAAGAGTTTCATTTATATAGCACATTTAATGCAACAGCTGTTGCCCAAAGTGCTTCACAATAACTAAACCCAAATAAGAGTACAGAGAAAAAAAAAAACCTTGGACAAGGTAATGATCAGACACCCATCATATGAAGATGCCCAGGAAGACTTTAAAAGATGTGCTTTTAACATGGCCTTACATTTCAATAGTGACTTTACTGGCCTTACAGAAAGAGGGAGGTCATTCCAAAGTTTGGTTCTGACATGGGAAAATTCTTTGTCGCCCTTATGTTTATATTTTGTTCTGACAACACAGATTTTTATTTTCGTATCTCAAAGATCTAGATGGATTCTAAAATTCCAGCATATTAGAAAGATAAGTGGCAAACTTGTGTAACACCTTAAAAACAATCTTAAGGCCTGTTCACACCGGGACGAATTTCGCGCGATATTCGCCGACGGTTAACGCCTCGTGACTAAACAAAGGGCGCCAATGTGAGTGTGCACACCGACACGAAAAACGGCACGCGTAAAAGCGTCATTTAAAAAAAAAAAACGCCTCGGGTTAGTTTTTTTAGTTTGACGTGTCGCGTCAAAAACTATCCGACCAATGAGATTGGCGCTTTTGCTCACGTGTCTGGTGCTTCTGAAGTTACAGTAAAACACAACTTGGGGGCGCTCAAACACAAAACGGTCTTGCCGAGCACACATACGTAACGGCGAAGAAGATATACGCCAAGTAGCATCTACACTGCCGGAAAGAAATAAGACGAGGAAGATGCAAGGCAAGATGAATGTAGAGCTGCTGGTCTCGTTGGTGTCGGAACATTAAGAACTATATGACAAACACAACAGCGACTACAAAAATCTTTATAAAAGAGAATGTTATGGAGTGGTATTGCAGAGCAAATGGGCGCCATCTAATGTCAGGGAATGAATTTGCATGTTCACTCGGCTCATCGTCAGTGAAAATCGCTTGTGTGTGAACACAAAAAACGCGTTGAAAAACGCTGCCGAATAACGCGCGCCGATATTCGTCCCGGTGTGTACGAGCCTTTATAGATAATTCTATCGAACCAGCAACCATTTTAAAAACGGCGTAATTGGCTCAAATTTCTTGGCTGATTTGAGCATTCTCGCCAGCATTCTGGTTTTTTTTTTTTTAAGATGTGCCAATGCTTTGTTAATTCCAAAGTAAAGAGTTTCAGTCGTGAGCACAATGCTCTCGCTCACACAGTCTGCGGGGGTGATCTCAAGGAAGCTTACTTTCATATAAGCATCTATACTGCGCACAGGAAATATATCAGTTTTTCCTTTCAGAGCGAAGTGTACACATTTTTTACTCTTCCATTCGGGCTCAGCCTAACTCTGCACGGGTTCAGCTTGTGCATAGAGGCAGCTTTATCAGTGCTGAGACACAATGGGCTCAGAATATCTGCTTATCTGGATGCCTATCTTATATGCGCTCACTCACGGGAGTGTGCGGAATGGGACAACGAGATGCTCACTTCTCGTTTCACAAATCTGGGGTCCAGAATCATCTACGCCAAAAGCCAGCTGATTCCATCTCAGGAGAGACCGTGGCATACCGCGCTATGCTCTTGGAAAGAATGATAATGGCGTTTTATCAGTGCCTAGCCCAGTTTCGCAGGGGAACCTTGGTATTGTTCAGGACCTGACTCTTTTGGGCATGATGGCTTTTTCGCTGTCTGTGGTCCCGATGGGCTTGCTAACAATGAGAGACTTCCAGCGATGGGTAGCAGCGAGGCGTCTGTGTCCTCGTCTGCACCTCGTGCGCAGAGTGAGAATATCAAAATAGCTGTATTCCCTAGTTGCTTGAAATTACTTGGATCCGCATCGCAAGTCAATCAGCAATTGACAAATTCGGTTTCAAATTCTAGACATGCACCTGTGTCTGTGTTTGCTGTGTCTCTTCATATTCTACACAGATTTTTGCCAGTAGAGATCCACTTTCCTGTAGAGTTTAGGTGTAAGAGGTTATTCATAACTACAACTTGTAGACTTGGAATTTTCGGAGAGCTCCGACTTGTACCACATGATCGCTGTACCACCTGACCCTTGTCGTTGATAGTGTTGCCATAGTAACACTCAATCATCTTCTAATTATGTCATATGGCGTGAACGCAGCTCCACTCCTCCAAACCTAATCAAACACACCTGAACAAGCTAATCAAGGTCTTCAAGATTAGGCTAGAAAGCTACACGCAGGTGAGTTTCATCAGGGTTGCAGTTACCCAGACTTCCTTGGATCTATAAATCTTTAGACAGCAATTTATCTTAAGGGATTCAGCAGCACATCTTTTCAGTGTAGTTTTGTGTGCCTCACTGTCCCCCCTGGCTGACTAATTCAGTGCATCTTCTAGCAGAGTTGATTGTTGTGAGATCACAGGTTGAGAGGATGACATCTCGAGTGTACTGCTCGTTGAGTGTTGTTTTATTGTGTCTGTCTGCATGTTTGAGCACAAACCATGCTGGAGTCGTAGGTGAGAAGATCTTTTAGCTTCATTACACAGCCCGAATAAATGCATAAATAAGTTCCTTACAAAATATGATGTACAGTACAATTAGTTGTAAAAGTAAACTTATGAACAAATTAACTGGATATCTTCTATCTGCATTGTGCTTCTATAACACCTCACTAATAGTGGGGTAGGTTGTAACGGCACTCTGTCTTGAAACTAATCGACAATTTAGTTATAAATGGTATTTCTACTTGATTTGAAGCAGATAAATACACAAATATTTTTAAGTTTGAGACGCACATTGCAAAACACCTGATTTACAAATACTGAAAATATTACAAAAACACTCCTGTAGTGTCTGGTAAAGCTGACGGTCGTGCCGTGGTGGAGGATCTACTTGTGATCGAGACTGCTTTGGAGGACAATGTTAACTAAATGTGAAGCTATAAAGTAGAAAGACTGAACTAGTATTTTCTTGTAAAACCTATTCTCATATTTGACCACTTTTTTTCATATCACTGAATGCTGAAAGCCTCATTTACTGTATGTTTCTGTTATGTGTCTGTATCACAGCAAAGCCGGGACAGTGTCCAAGCACAAAATCTGGTGGAGTAAATTGTGCTGAGTTGTGTTCCTATGACCGTGATTGTCCCAACAATGAGAAATGTTGCAGCAATGGATGTGGACGTCAGTGTATTGATCCATATACAGGTATTTATGTACTATTAGTGTTTGAGTCGGCTTTCTCGTTATATCAGTTGGTCTTATTTTATCGTTATGTGTCAAAAGTATTGAGCCGATTGCACCGTTTCAAGCAAAGGATTGCTTTACAAATTTAATAGATGAATAATACTTAAAATAAAATTCTTTCTGTAAGTAAAACTTACTGTTCATGCTTTGTGTGTTATGTGCTGTACATCTAAGACCTAAATGTTACTAAACGGACTGACTAAAGCTGACTATCTGAATCTCTGCAGTGAAGTCGGCAGCTGAACCGGCAAAGCCTGCAGTTTGTGCTGAAAACTGTCAAAAAACTCACCCTGATGCCCAATGTTCTGGCCCTAAGGGGGGTCCTCCAGAGCCTGTAGTGATGGCTGCGTCCGAACCAGCAAAGCCTGCAGTGAAGCCTGTGGCTGAACCAGCAAAGCCTGCAGTGTGTTCTGAAAACTGTCAAAAAGCTCACCCCGATGCCCAATGTTTTGGCTCTAAGGGGGGTCCTCCAGAGCCTGTAGTGATGGCTGCGTCCGAACCAGCAAAGCCTCCAGTGAAGCCTGCAGTATGTGCTGAAAACTGTCAAAAAACTCACCCTAATGCCCAATGTTCTGGCCCCAAGAGGGGCCCTCCAGAGCCTGTAGTGATGCCTGCGGCCGAACCAGCAAAGCCTCCAGTGAAGCCTGTGGCCGAACCAGCAAAGCCTCCAGTGAAGCCTGTGGCCGAACCAGTGAAGCCTGCAGTATGTGCTGAAAATTGTCAAAAAACTCACCCTGATGCCCAATGTCCTGGTTCTAAGGGGGGTCCTCCTGGACATAAAGAAAGTGGCCATGCATGCAGTTAACAGTGTTGATTTTTACCAGTGATTTCCCTGTTTAACAAAAAATAAAAAAGATAAACAAATTAATTTGCCTAAAGAGTTTCATTTATATAGCACATTTAATGCAACAGCTGTTGCCCAAAGTGCTTCACAATAACTAAACCCAAATAAGAGTACAGAGAAAAAAAAAGACAAGGTAATGATCAAACACCCATCATATGAAGATGCCCAGGAAGTCTTTAAAAGATGTGCTTTTAACATGGCCTTACATTTCAATAGTGACTTTACTGACCTTACATAAATAGGGAGGTCATTCCAAAGTTTGGTTCTGACATGGGAAAATTATTTGTCGCCCTTATGTTTGTATTTTGTTTTGACAACACAGAAGATTTTTCTTTACGGATCTCAAAGATCTAGATGGATTCTACAGTTTCCAGCATACTAGAAAGATAAGTGGCAAAATTGTGTAACACCTTAAAAACAATCTTCTAGATAATTCTATCAAACCAGCAGCTATTTTAAAAACTGAGTAATTGACTCAAATTTCTTGGCTGATTTGAGAATTCTCGCCACATCTTATTTTTTTAAGATGTGCCAATGCTTTGTTAATTCCAAAGTAAATAGTTACAGTCGTGTGTAGCGTCTGGAGTGGACCAATCAAACACACAAATTATTCATATTTAATGAATCCAGCAAACTCACTCTCCCATCAAAGGTCTGTGGAACTTCCCCCAAAACTAACATCACAAATGAAGTCTACCCACTGGCAGAACCTGGTGTCCTGTTACAGGACACATTAATACTGATACGTTTTACAACCCCAAAGGAATTTTCAGAGTTGTGACTCTCACTTAATTCTTGCTGAGAAGGAGAAATTAACCCTGTTAATCCTATATATTCTATATATATCCACTTGAGAAATGCATAAACATGTATCTAATTTTCTCATCTCATGATTTTCCTTTACGTTGTTTGGTTAATGTTTCAGACTTTGCATACTATGGTTAACCAAAATCATATGTTTGGTCTCTATAAACTCCAATCTTCGTCCCCCATTTGTTAATTTACATTACGTTTTGCTAACTTTATACCGCATTAGAATTATACGAATTTTGAAGATTCTTTTCTTAAAAACCCAATGAAATTAAACATTCAAATGCTCTGCTAGAACACAATGGGTCGTAAAAACTCCCTCCAAAGGGAACACTTCTTGTTGGCTCACACACCTCCAGAGGGTCTGACATCTTCACGCTTTAAAAAAATCACTGATCACAAGATTAGCTGCTCTTGCTCTTAGCACTCTTAGCTTGCTTAACCTCTTGCTCTCTTACTCTCTTGGCTTGGTCCTTCCTGAGAAGTCCTAATGTGAAGATGATGCTGAACTAGAAGTCTCCCAAGGACCCCCAAGCTTGCGCCAGGCTGCGGCCTTGTCTTTCCATTCACCAAAGATCCTCTGACTCCCACTGGTCCTCTCTCATCAAGACCACATCAGCAAAGATCAACTGGAGCCTCAACAAATTGCATCAGGACAGTTTAATTCAAATGGACGAGACGTGCAAGTATCAAACTTAGTCTCATTATTTGATACATTAAGTATCCTTACCCCTTTGTAAGAAGGGCGTGCTAGAACTAAACTGGTGGTTTGCTCAGGCTGTTGATCTGCTGAACATCAAACAACGCTATAACTTCTTGCTTTCCTGTATTCTGCTTCAGCTCTCTTTCCCTTAGTAAACTTAATGTAACTAGACTAAGTTTAAATGTTTAGTCTAGTTAATAAAGTCTTGTTCATATCACACGTAAAGTTGTCCGTGTCTCAAGGTCATATCTGGAGTCACTAATCATAGATTTCTGGCTACAGGCTCTGAATAGTACTCTACAGTAAGAAAGACATTGCCCATGCCCTGGAAATGTAAATATCTTAGAATTAATAACCAATTTTGAGTGTTCACAGGATGAACCGAGTAATTGGTTGTCATGTTAATGTAGCTACATCAAGTTAACCCGATTAACTGATCCAAATATTCATAATCAATTATAACAAGTTTTATTAACAAGCTAATTTGCTACACAAAGAAAAATTTGATCAGAAAAATGGTTGGAGATTATGACATCTGGTTCCAAGCCTCTCACTTTAAGCTACACCAGCCAGCCTCAACAACCCCACACAGCATGAAATGAAGTGAGGGATCAAGGGCGTGTACTAGTAACGGACCTCCCTCACCAATGAGGGAAAGCCCATTGCAACGGATCACAAAGAGTCACCCTGGTGAAGATAGAAGGTGTGTTCGACTTCATGCAGCTCTGCGCAGACCGATCGGCGGCTGACGCATGCCGGCTGTGCATGCCGGTAAGAAATTTTGTCCGACTTGATGCAGCGCCGACGCCACATGACTGTGACGTACGCCATCAAAGTACCGCGAGAGTGTTTCGAGAGTAGCCGGAGGACTCAGCCAGCGCAGCTTCTCAAGAGCGGCTGCACAAGCTCTGATGACGACACAACTGTTCCACGATTGTCCGGATTCACCTCATGACAACGATCATGTGCGTTTCGTGTTTATTCTCACACCTTTAGTTCCACTAAAGCTCACAAATCAGTTTTTTATAACAGTAAACAGTCTTTTCATGTAGTCGCGATGTTATATTGTGTCATGTTTATCAAAATAAAACTGATTAAAAAACATTGACTCCACTTCATTGATATAGGCTTATTTTGAACTTTATTCTTGTTCAAACAGATGCTGTATGAAGCAGTAAAGTATTGAATGAAAATGTGTCTGAAATATGTTTATTTGGCAAATATAGCATTTATTTCACTTCAGCTGTGGTAAAGTATGCAAACACCACGTGAGCGGTCACTACGGGAACCAGAAATTGTCCGACTTCACGTCTCCGTTTGCAGCTCCTCCCCGCGGCAACTCTCGCCAATCGGTTACATCCAGCCGCAGCCGATGTTGAACACACCTAGAATGTCCATGGGGCGAACGAGATGATCAACACACCTGGTAGAAGATGTGAACTAACTAATGGTTTAAGTTTAGCAGAAATCTGCATTATAGGTCTATATACAAGGACAGGGAATACAGGACTGGGCAAAGCAATTAAAAAGGATTGCAACTTGAAACCACTGATTTGGAAAAGGAAAATTCCACATACAAACCCTCTGGCATTTTTCAACAGACCCTACCAGATTTATTTGTTAAATCCAATCTGACTTAGTCGCTATTGAGTCCATGTGCTGTCCTAACAATGATTTGAACTGATCACTTGATTTCTCAGTGGTTGGGGATTAACATAGCATTCCTTTGTGATTTTTCCTGACACAGGATAAACCACCTTAACATGAACTGTAAAAGCAGTTCACTCTCCCTGTTTGAGCAGAGAATAAATCTTCCTTACTATACAGAGAATGACTCTCTGGCATTGCAGGGGACAACGTTAACACAACCTTCCCTGATTAGACAGGATAAATCAACTTCCTTGACTATACGAAGGATGAAACACTTCTGTCGACACAGGATAACCACATGTACTCCACAGAAATTTATTTTTGTACCAAAAACTACAATAGATCAAAAACATTTCATTAAATATAAGATTTATTTGGTGATAAACAGGGAACATTCTATACGAATAAAGCACTGAATTGATCTGTAAAAGAACTTCAGCATGAGTTCCGCAAAAAGCAATGTCACGATTTACATTTGCCATCATGGTGATCGTGACCGTCATGGTGACCGTGACTGTCGTGGTGATCGTGACTGTCGTGGCCATCGTGACCGTGGCGGCCATCGTGACCGTGGCGGCCGTGACCATCGTGGCGACCGTGGCAGCCATTGTGACCGTGGCGGCCATCATGACGATCGTGACCGCCGTGGCCATGACCAAGGTGTCCGGCACACTCAGGGTGCCTTGGCAGTTCGGCTGCAGGATTTGGAGGCTCGGAGGCAGGCTTCACTGCAGGCTTTGGCGGCTCGGGCGCAGGCTTCACTGCAGGCTTTGGCGGCTCGGCCGCAGGCTTCACTGCAGGCTTTGGCGGCTCGGCCGCAGGCTTCACTGCAGGCTTTGGCGGCTCGGCCGCAGGCTTCACTGCAGGCTTTGGCGGCTCGGCCGCAGGCTTCACTGCAGGCTTTGGCGGCTCGGCCGCAGGCTTCACTGCAGGGATATAGATAGTCATCTTTAGTCGGTTCTTTCAGTGGCATTCGGCACAAAACTCAAATCATGAATAGCAAGTGTTTCAGAGTGAATTGTATTTTAAATATTCATCATTCATTTTGTAAAGCTATTCTGTGAAACTGTGCTACGTGTGCTAAATTGCAGTTATTTTTGTCATGGAGTAGGATGACGAGAACAGAATTATAAAAGACACACTGGGGTGGGGAGCTGACCCAAACACTCCATAAACAAGTATAATACAACTACCTGTATATGGAGCCATACACTGACGTCCACATCCATTGCTGCAACATTTCTCATTGTCCGGACAGTCACTGTCATAGTAACACAACTTGGCACAATTTCCTCCTCCAGTTTTGGAGCTTGGACACTCTCCTGGCTTTGCTGTTATGAAGACACGACAGAACACATCACTGAATGCTGAAGGTCTCATTTACGGTTTGAATATAAATATATATTATATATATATATATATATATATATATCAGTCTTTCTACTTCAAAGTTTCATATTTAGTTCAATGCATTACTTGCAGCTTCTTTGCAATTATTTGTGAAGTTCACTAGCAACGTCTGAGTAAAAACTTTCAGTGTTTCTTTTGGGAGACCTCTAGCATCCATCATTAATTAAAACTCACTGAAAACAGGTGGCACACATGCAGGCCCACAAGGAAATTGACAGCATTTATGTCCTCCAGAGCAGTCTCTATCAGAAGTACATCCTCGACTGGATGGCACGACTGTCAGCATCACCGGACACTGACCGGACTCTACAGAAGAGGATTCAAGAGGATTGGTAAAAGGGACCAGGGAGTGTTGTAATGGTTTCAGTATTTATAAGTCAGGGGTTTTGAAATATAGGTCTCAAAACTTGAAAATATGCATATCTGCTTACAATCAAGAATAAATTCCATTTAATCACTAAACTGTCAATCAGTTTTAAAGACAAAGTGCTGTTACAACCTACCCCACTACTGGTGAGATGTGTAATATAAGCACAATGCAGATAGAAGACATGGACAGTTAATGTGTTTCATAAATTTACTATTGCAACTAAATGTACTGTAGCTACATGTTCAAAAGAAGTCATTTTGTAAGGCACTTATTTATGCATTTCTTCAAACTGTGTAATGAAGCTAAAAGATCTTCTCACCTGCGACTTGTGTTGTGCACAGACATGCAGACAGGCACAATAAAACGACACTCAACGAGCAGTACACTCGAGCTGTCATCCTCTCGACCTGTGATCTGGTGATCTCACAATGAGCTCTGCTGGAAAACGCGCTGAATTAGTCAGTCAGAAAGGTTAGTGAGGAACACAAAACTACAATGCAAACATGTGCTGCTGAATCCCGCAACATAAATCACTGTATAAAAGTTTTCTGAAAACGCGTTTTTAACGATCCAAGGAGGTCTGGGTAACTCCAACCCTGATCAAACTCACCTGCCTGTAGCTTTCTAGTAGCCTTATCTTGAAGACTTTGATTAGCTTGTTCAGGTGTGTTTGATTAGGTTTGGAGGAGCAGAGCACTTCGTTCACGCCAGATGTCGTAATAACCGTAATTAGTATTAGGCTATGATGAATACCTTGTCCAAATACCCACACTTGCGGTCTTTGCACTTGACCACTTGTCTACTTGCATGACGTCTACTTGGCGCAAGTGTTCAAGTAGGCGTAAAGACTACAAGTGTAGAACTTTTGATTACTCGATTGGACACACTTATAGTCTTGCAAAAAATGCAAGTGTTTACAGAGCTTTTATTTATTATATTTTCAATGGTTTGCTTTTTTTTTTTTTTTAAACGTACACGTCTGTTCAGTAGTCGGACGTTTCTTCAACTAGGGGCACTTTTAGCTTTGTGAAGTTGAATAAAACAAAAACTTGTTCAAAAGTCACGTAACACAGCATAAGATTAAATAATTTTTCTAGTTTTAAGGTCTGTAAGATGACAAACTTAGATTACAAGAGAAATTTTTTTTTTTTTTTGATCTGCCATGAACAAATGTCATTTCCACCACATCTCAATATACAGCTGTTATGTAAAAATAGAATAACTTATGCCACTCAAGAATTGTCAAAGATCATTTTTGTAACTAGTTTTCCACTATGTACATTTGTCAATGAGATAAATTAAATGCCCTAAGGACCAAATTCTGAACTGTACACTTGTCACACTCTAAAATGTAATATTGGTTTGGGCATAAGCTTATTAGAAAATACTTGAAAATATAGAACTTGAATTTCTATATTAAGTAGAGCATGATCTCATAAATTGTGGATACATTTTTAATGTGTGATGAGAACTTTTTAAATATTTTAAAAAAATGTGTCTGGTGATGGAAATGACAGGGTGTTGTGGAAATGACATTGAATTAACGTGAACGTATAAAAACAGTAGAGATATTTTTTAGAAAAAAAATTAAACTTATCACACTCATTAAACTCTATTCAAAAAGTCATTAAACATAACCACCTGTTTTTAGTGTACTGCTGAGTTTGATGTATAAAACTGATTTGTCTCACAGATGAATGCTTACAATGCATACTTAAATAAAAATAGATACAAATTAAATCAATTAATATTAAAATAATACAATTTAGAAATAAAAATAATATCATAATCCATCCATTCATACATCTTCTTCCGCTTATCTGGGGCCGGGTCATAGGGGCAGCAGTCTGAGCAGAGACGCCCAGACTTCTTCCCTCTCCCTAGACACTTCCTCCAGCTCTTCCGGGGGAATACCGATGCGTTCCCAGGCCAGCTGGGAGACATAATCCCTCAAGTGGGACGCGCCCGGAACACCTCCCCGGGAAGGCGTCTAGGAGTCATCCGGAACAGCTGCTCGAGCCACCTCAGCTGGCTCCTCTCGATGTGGAGGAGCAGCGGCTCTACTCTGAGCTCCTCCCAGCCACCCTGCAGAGAAAGCTAATTTCGGCCGCCTATATCCGTGATCATGTCCTTTCAGTCATTACCCCTGGTAAATCGAGAGCTTCGTCTTGCAGCTCAGCTCTTTCTTCACCACGACAGGCCGGTACATCGACCGTGTTACTGTAGAAGCTGCACCGATCTGTCTGTCAATCTCCCGTTCCATCCTTCCCTCACTCATGAACAAGATCCTGAGATACTTGAACTCTTCTACCTGAGGCAGGAACTCTCCACCAACCTGAAGCGGGCAAACCACCCTTTTCCGACTGAGAAGCATGGGCTCAGAAGCTGCACCGATCCGTCTGTCAATCTCCCGTTCCATCCTTCCCTCACTCATGAACAAGACCCCAAGATACTTGAACTCCTCTACTTGAGGCAGGAACTCCCCACCAACCTGAAGCGGGCAAACCACCCTTTTCCGACTGAGAACCATGGGCTCAGACTTGGAGTTGTTGATTCTCATCCCAGCCGCTTCACACTCAGCTACAAACCGTCCCAGTGCATGCTGAAGGTCCTGGTCTGATAAGGCCAACACGACAACATCATCCACAAAAAGCAGAGACGAAATCGTGTGGTCCCCAAACCGGACACCCTCAGTGCCCTGGCTGCGCCTAGAAATTCTGTCCATAAAAATTATGAACAAAACTGGTGACAAAGGGCAGCCCTGCCGGAGTCCAACATGCAACGGGAACAAGTCTGACTTACTGCTGGCAATGCGAACCAAGCTCCTGCTTGTACAGGGACCGGATAGCCCTTAGCAAAAGGCCCCGGAACCCATACTCCCAGAGCACCCTCCACAGGACGCCACGAGGGACACAGTCGAAGGCCTACTCCAAATCCACAAAGCACATGTGGATTGGTGCAAACTCCCATGCACCCTCCAGCACCCTGGAGTGGGTATAGAGCTGGTCCAGTGTTCCACGACCGGGACGAAAAACCTTACTCTTCCCCTTGTAGTTGGAACACACCCTCCGGTCTCCCTTCTTGAAAAGAGGGACCACCAACCCGGTCTGCCAGTCCAGAGGTACTGTCCCCAAACGCCACGCAATGTTGCAGAGGCGTGTCAGCCAAGACAGCCCCACAACATCCAGAGACTTCAGGTACTCAGGGCGGATCTCATCCACCCCCGGTCCCTTGCCACCGAGGAGCTTTTTCTTAACTACCTCGGTGACTTCAGCTTGGGTGATGGATGAGTCCACCTCCGAGCCCTCGGCCTCTGCTTCCTCATTGGAAGA